CCCTACACAGCATGAAACATTTAGTAGTAAATATTTCATCCACAGGTGGATTTTGGATTAAATCACAGTGGGTTGTGGTTTTTTGTTTGTTTGTTTGTTTGTTTTAAGACTGTGGCTTTCCCCCACTGCTTTTTTTCCTCTGAAAAAGTGCGGCATGCATTCACAGTTCCTTTGCCACTTCCTTTCCCAGACCATGACTTATGTTCTCATACTGGGAAAATCCCACGTTCCATTTTCTGACGTTATACATTTTCCCTTTAATCTTTTCCAAACCCCCATCATCACTAATGGTGTATCTTGTTGTCTGCCACTAAAATTTAAGAATATGTAATAAATTAAGGATGGTTCTACATTGCCTTTTATCTGACTAGCATCTGTGGGTGTCAGCTGCCAACAAGTAGCTCGGGTGTCTGGGCCGCTCCTGAACGCTCACAAGCTGACACACTGTCTTCTGATAAAAGGTACCTTCAAATATGCATGCGACTTTCAATATAACTTTTGTATGCTTGAACACTTCCTGTAAGAGAATCGCTCGACCTAATAAAATGACTTGGCTGGGACTTTGAAAAAGCTGGATATAAATATTGCTAGAAATTATAGAGCAAGCATAAATACTTCACTCTGAGCTTTGCCGAGCATTTTCAGGATGTTTCTGACCACAATTGTGAGACCTAAGCTTATCCCAGAGGAAGGGCATGGTGGGGGTGGGGGGACAGAATTAGTCACACAGGATCACCAGTCCTCCCAGGGAGACTACAAAGTAATAGCTACCCCCTAACATGGTTTCAGTGGTGATAAAGGAAGGGTTTTGTTCTTTTAGTTCTTATCTAATCAGTTACCCTTGTTTTGATGATCTGTGTACAGCCCTCATCTAAAAATCTACATGTCTGAGTTCAGACATACCTTGTTAAGACTGTCATGTTCAAACAGAACACATATTATGTTCTCCAGAGAGGCAGTATGTCCATGTGGGTGATAAGAACTGAAATCAAAGCATTGTCAGTCTTATATTTTAATCGAATATCTTGTTCTCCTAATTCTGTTCAAGGTGCTAAAAAAAGTGTGTCTCTAAGCTGACATTTCTAATGAGTGAAGTATTTATTTTATTGCTCTAAAGCTACCATTGTAGAGAAAGGTTAGTATGTGGTGGTGGTGGTGGTGCTGATGATGGTGGTTATGGTGGTGGTGGTGATGGTAGTGATGATGATTGTGGTGGTGGTGGTGGTGATTGTGGTGGTGATGGTGGTGGTGGTGGTGATGATGGTGATGGTGGTGATGTTGGTGATGGTGATGGTGGTGGTGATGGTGATGGTGGTGGCAGTGGTAGTGATGGTGGTGGTAGTGATGGTGGTGGTGGTGGTGATGATGTTGGTGATGGTGGTGGTGATGGTGGTGGTGGTGGTGGTGGTTGGTGGTGGTGATGATGGTGGTGGTGCTGATGATGGTGGTTATGGTGGTGGTGTGGTGGTGGTGGTGATGGTGGTGGTGATGGTAGTGATGATGGTGGTGGTGGTGATTGTGGTGGTGGTGGTTATGATGGTGGTGGTGGTG